GAAGGCAGCTATGGAAAATGGGTCAGTTAACCACCTGAGTGAACCATCAACGCCTTTGTATCAAATGGGTTTTCAACTAGTTAAATGTACGATACTTGCATTGCCTTGGCCGTGGCACGAGTGTCCGGATGCGTTCTCGGATGAAAGTCTTGATGGTTTGATGGTTCGATGGAGTTCAATTTGATGGTGCAATCAAATTATTCCGGGTTGAAGAATGACAACCTCCAAAGATGTTATTCTGACTCGGGAGAGTGGTGGTCGGGAGAGTTCTCTTCCACGTGAAAAGTTGGAACATGACTTGTTGCAACTTTGAGCAGCGTTGCAGTCAGACTGGATGTCAGAGAGGCAAGAGAGCAGTAACAGCGCAGCAGAAGAAGATAGAAGAGAGAGCAAAGGTCACAGAGTAGTGAGGCCTTTTAACTTCTAGCAAGGTCACACCTCCAGGGGGCCAGTGACCCAATGGTAACTTAAAGAGATAGTTCACCCAAAAAGGAAAATTACCCTATGGTTTACTCACCCTCAAGGCATCCTAGGTGTATATGACTTTCTTCTTTCAGACGAATACAATCAGCGTTATATAAAAAAAAATCTCCTGGCTCTTCCAAGCTTTCAGACGAATACAATCGTCTTTCTTGACTTTCTTCTTTCAGACGAATACAATCAGCGTTATATTAAAAAAAATATATATATATAAAAATATATGACTGCAGACAGGTGTAAGCCAAGGAAGGATTCTGGGACATGGAGTCCAGAGCTGGCGACTGGTGACAGAGACTCCCTGACACACGTTTACACTTGTCTTTTCGATGTGTATGTGAACAACATCCGGATACAGATCGCATGTTAATGTCAAGTGTAAACGCAGCCTTTGAGCATGGTATTTTGTATGTGTAAGTGGATTTGTTGTTGATGCAAAAACTTTTAAAAATTCTTATAATACTAATATGTTGCATAGATATCAACATATAATATACACTATCATTTAGATCATCAAAATACAAATTTGCAGATACCAAAAATTGTATAGGTTAATGGTACATTAACTAATGGTTCTATTGTAAAGCATGCATAAAACAATATACAATATAAAAGAAAATGCACAAAACAGTAATAACACGTACTGGGGATATGCATGTTCATTAATATAAAGTTTTTTTTTTTTTTTTCAATTAATGGGAATAAGTCATTTTCTATGGGCAGTATGTGTCGTTTCAAAGTGAATTAAGCGAGAGGGAGACTCTCTCAACATTCCATTGGGTTGCAAAGTCTATCTGGTTACTGTGGGTCTGTTCTGTACTTTTGGGTTATTTGCATTCGGGGGAGGATTCCATAGACCCTAATGGTTGGCTTGTTGGGTGTGGGGTGTTGGATTATTTTGTTAGATATAACAAATAATAATGTGTCTGATTTGTCCAGCCATTACACGGCCAAGAGAGTAACTATAGGTTATATGCTTTCTCACTAAATAACTGCTAGTTCTGAGTGCTAGGTTGTGAAGGATACAGCAGAGTACCATAATCTGGCATTCTTATCACCACTGTAATTTAGGCATCTAACTCACTTTTTAAAATGCTGAATTTAGGCTAACTCCTGACCTAATCTGGTAAAACTGGATTGTGTGTGGTCCACTACGATGTGTTTTTTTTTTCCTTTTTTTTCTGTGCTGAACTTTTTAGGTAATTGTAATTTTTAATTCCAATGTATTTTAAGTAAACAAATCTCATGAAATAAAACAGACAATGCTGTGATGGACTGGCCATCCATCCAAGGTATTCCCTGCCTATGGCCCAAGATGCATCCCCACACGCTTCATAGGACAAGAGTTTTGGAGAATGGATGGATGGAAATTGTTCTCTGACAATAAGTGATACTTCATTTTTAATTTGAGGTAATTCATAATAACAAATTATTTTAATTGCCACTTGAAAGTTTCATGCAAAACTACCGGCACTGGATGGAAATTAACATAAATTAGACATCTCAGACAGATGGTGCTTCTATTCTGCTCGAGAGAAGGAAAGATGTCCCACCCGCTGGCTCACTGTGCCAAACACCCCCCACATTCATCTCTTCTAACTCTGGGTTCCAACCAACTCCTTCATTTCGATCTAGGTGGTAACAGCACATAATGATTCCTCAATTTAAACACTGCCATGTCAGAGTGATCCCTGTAGCTCAGAGAATGGCAAGTTTACTAACTCTCAACAGTGAGAACAGATTTTAGTACATGCAGTCTGCTGCATTCAAATTTGTCTGGAGGGACAATATGTATTCATAACTAAACATCAATAAACTGTGTGGATTGTAACTGGATTGTACTATTTACTGTGAACTGGGCAAACAACATCAACTTTGACTATGAAGAACAGTCAGAACCTACCTTTGCAACAGCACTAACAAGTGTTACTGTTTAATATGGCCTTATACATTCTAATACTGAAACATGCATTTTCTGCAAAGCTGCTCAGAAATGATGCATGATTTTCTTTTCCACACCTGTCAAACACCAGCCAATAGCCAAATAAGCATGCCTTGACACACACTGTTCAATACATGCACACACCACTCCTCTATAGACCTATAGTTGTATTATCTGTGCATTTTGATGCATTAACATAAATATTCAAATTCAACTGAAGATTAATTTATTTCTAGATATTAAACCCCCATTTGCAATAGTGTCTCATGCATTTAAACCCTGTTATTACTATAAAGTGTGATTTCCATTTCATTTGACCTGTTTAAAAGTGTAAATTCCAGAGTAAACAAACTTTTCAGTCACCGACCAAACACATTCAACCAAGACTCATATCCCAACATGGATCTGTCCAGCTCTCTAGCCTCCAGTACGATTTGTTTGCTATCTGAACCGTGAAAACCCAGGGAGAATAATTATCAGTTCACCCGACTGTAAACAGTCCTACTTACAACATTACTCATGAGCCAATGCAACACACAGAGATCTGGCTCAAATAAGAGATCTACTGGAGCGATGCCACAGAGATACATTTCCTCCTTCAATGTTTCTATCATTTACTCAGATGGGTTTAAGTATCTTTGGTGCACTGACTTGACGACTTTATTATCAAAGTGACATTTCCAACCATATCAGCCAATGCCATTTGGATGCCTACAATTAATCAGTCTAAAAGGACAATGCACTTGTGCTTAATTCAGTTCAGTTGAATTTGTTAGTTTTTCACAATGAATATTATATCAAAGAAGCTTTATGAACAATAGTGCCTTCCAACTCCCAGTAAGCCAAAAGCAACAATAGACAAGAAAAAATAAAATAAAAAAGTAGAAGAAGAACTAAGACTCAGGGGACTGACTGTAATTTTGAAAAGTAGTGTTTTGTTAGTGCAACTCATTTAGTGTAAATAAAACAAAAGAGTCATGCACAAAACTGATTATACAGTAAGCCTAGGTCAAAACAGACTTTCTGTAGAAAAAAAAAAATAGTAAGTTAAAAGTAAACTTATTATTTTTTGAGTTTAATGAACTTGTCAAAATTTACATCAACTGAAATTTTGTCAGATTTATTTGTGATTACGATCACATTCATAGATAAACAATAAAGCAATTAATCAAAACGTATTAATAATTTCAGATATGATGTATGATTGGAAATGAACCTGACCTCTGTGACCATGTCGAGTGCAAACACGAGGTAGCATACTCAATATTTGTGCAAACATGTGCAAATAATATACTTGCATAATAAAAGCAAAGTAAAATCTAAAGTTCTACTAATATCTCCTAATAGCTATAATATCTACTACTTAATGTATTTTAAAGAGATTATTAACTTAATAAAAAAAAAAACTGATTACCTCATTTTAAATTTGTTTGCATCTTATTAGGGTTTACAGTGCATTTGTATCTATCATATAATAATAATAATAATAATAATAATAATAATAATAATAATAATAGCTACTATAAATGCAACAAGTGTGGCAAAGCCAGATCACTTTTATCAAGAAAACATGTCACTCACGAACAGTGAAGAATAAGTCTTAACACTGATTTACAGTGGGTACGGAAAGTATTTAGCAAATGGCTGCAATATAACAAAGAGTGAACAATTTAAGGGGGTCTGAATACTTTCCGTACCCACTGTATACAAAATCACTATCAAACTGTTATATTATACTCTTGTACCTTCACTATTGTAAGAGAGATAACGAATGGGAGTGCAAGAGACATGATTATTGAAACAGAACTAAGTTCAATCATCTCCCTCATCCTCTTATCTTCTATCCTTTCCGTGTCAATTCTCAGCTGATCATGCAAATGGAAATGCATTTGTGCGTACCGGGAACCAAACATCTGAGCCTTTCACGGATCTCCAAGAGTATCTGCATGCTATACTGAACTTAGACAATAGGCAGAGAGCTTGTCAGTTGCAAAGGTCTTTTCTCGATGCTCCTCACAAAACGACCTCAACAGCAGGTAATTATGATGCTCCAGTGGAGAGCTAATGTAATGATCAACCTGATCCATTTCAGCTCTATTTTATCATCACACCTCCATAGGCACAGCTTCTAATTCCTATTATTATTCTTATCAAAGTTCTTCAAGGACAAAGAGGATAATTCCAACCCTGCTTTCACTCGGGTGACTTATAATTAAAGCATTATGTGTTTAAAGCTGCAGGTTTGCAAGCTGAGTTTGTCTGAGAATACATGGGAACATTAAAGTTGTGCAAAGACATTAATCCTAGATTCAAAAATAACATCCAGACAGAATTTTGAACACACTGGTGAACATTAAGATCTAATAATACTTTTCATAATATACTGCACAATACTAAAACATTCATTCACAGAGGAACTGCAATTCCTCTGTGAACAATTCCAGGAACAGAGAAAAACTCTCAAATACACCTAAAACAACTACAGCAGAATATCAGATTTCACGTCATGACTGACTCTGAATAAGCATTTGTTAACTGAATACATGAACAGTTTGGGTATGCAATAACTCTGCATCCTTACCTTCTGACGGATCTCCTCCTCCATCTTGACCGGTGAGCCCAGTTCAGCGACTTGTTTGACCCCTTCACTGGCATAACCTCCATACTCCCACAATATATAGTTCTTTGAATGGGAAGCTCCAATAAGGGCTGACCAGTGATTGGCTCTCCCTGTGAAGATACATAAGATCGAGTTTCTAAGAAGGATACATGATCAAATTACTTAAAGGGGTGATGATATGAGAAACCAAATTTTTCTTGATCTTCTGGCATATAAGAGGTCTTTGTACCATTAAAACTTCCTACAAGTTTCATAGCTTAAGATGTCCTCCCCATTATAAACAAAGCATTTATTTAATCAAGCTCCAAATACGGCTCTTTGTGGAACCTATGGGGCAAGGTGACGTCACCTAGCACCAGTCGTTTGCATATTTTGCGCCTCCAGAGCAAGACAAATACGCCTAATTTTGCATCATCGCATTGTTGTCATGCCCACAGGTGTTCAGCTGACGTGCAGCGAGTGGGTCTGAAGAAGTAGCTGTTTACAATATTGTGTGATGCCACGCAGATGTGCTGTTCCTGGCTGTGGAAAAACAACATGTTTGAATACACTGCCAAAGGATCCAGACGTCAGGGAAACATTTATTCAATTTTAGCGAACGTCCCAGTCATATGGGGTTAGATCTATGCCACAATTCTGCGCACAAAAGTGCATTTTGCACGCTCGCGATCTGAGTTTTGTGGAGAAAATGTTCGTCTCGCAAAGAAAAAAGTATTTTGAGCGCACTAAAATCAATTTTGCATTTAAAATATGTTTTTGAATGTGTGCAGACCTTCTCTTTTGCGCGTGTAACGTTTCACTAGCTTGCTCCCTTAATGCCCGCCCTCAGTGCTGGCTTGCTCAAAAAAATCCAGTGTTACAATATGCCATAATGCCTTGACAACCAATCACAAGATTCCTTCCGTTATTGATGACAGCGGAAGTGGGAAAATACAGTGCATGCATAATTATTATGCAAGTTACTATTCTGATTATATATTTTTTCCAAGCACATTTTACCAATTCCAAACAACATCAATCTTATAAGTACGATTAATCTTGTATTTAATCACTTATAACCAATATATAATTGTTCATTAAGGCTGGAAGTGAAAAACGGCATAATTATTAAGCAGGTTATCTTCTACAGATAAAATCTCGAGATGGACTAAAAATGAACTCCCAAAACTTACTTTCAGTCTGAGTTAAATCTCTTTTTTGGCTCATTTTATCTGTAAAAGAAAATCTGCTTAATAATTATGCACACCTGAATATAAGACATTTTTCACTTCCAGCCTTCATGAATAATTATATATCAAGTGTAAATGATTAAATACAAGATTAATAGTAGTTATTAAGATTGATGTTGTTTGGAATTGGTACAATGTGCTTAGAAAAAATATGATCAGTATATCAACTTGCATAATAATTATGCATGCACTGTATTTTTTCTCTTCTGCTGTCATCAATAACAGAAGGAATGTTGTGATTGGTTGTCAAGGCATTATGGCATATTCATTAATTAATAATAATAATTAATAATAAGGTCTGCACACATCCAACAACTTATTTTAAATGCAAAATTGATTTTCGTGCACTCAAAATATGTTTTATTTGCGAGACAAACATTTTCTCCACAAAACTCAGTTTGCGGCCTTCAAAACGCACTTTTGCAGAACTGTGGCAGAGATCTAATCCTATACAGTCACGTCAGTGTCAATTTACGCATGTGTTCACTACATTACGTTTTGAGCACAAATTGCAGCATGATGCTGGCTTTGCCAGAGCACTTTTGCTCAAATATCAGTCTGTGCAGACTATTCTGGACCCAACAACGACGCCACAAACTGTAAGTAATGTATTTCATATAAAAACTACGTTTTAAAACGTTAATTTCAGTTTAATTTATAATGAATAATCATTATCAACATCACTGACGTTAGCCAATCATAACAGTGGGTGGTTACACTGAACTCTTAAAGGGGAACCCCCCCCCCCACAAAAAACCGACTGTTTTGAGTCAGAGGATGAGAAAAAGGGTGGAAAAATGTAGATGAAAAAGTTTTTCATCCAAAAAACTATAGTAATATTATAATTGCCTAAGGGAACATAATAAAACAAACAAAAAAAAAACATGTCATGACCCCTTTAAACAATGACCTACTAAATAAACAATTGTCATGTGTTTTGTATCTGTGGTCACTGTCACGTCTTGCACTATAAATGTTTTTTTTTTTTTTTGAAAAAGAGGTGCTCTCAGTTGTACTGAATGTGCATGAGTAGTGTACTTCAAATCTTAAAAGTATATATATATATATATATATGTGTGTGTGTGTGTGTGTGTGTGTGTGTGTGTGTAAGACCATAATATGAATGAAATAAAAGGCCACTTAAGGATACCTAAAGAGAGTACACTTTCATCACATGGCGCACGTTTTAAGTTTGTACATAAAACCATAATCTGCACTCAACAAAAATAGTCTTCTTTTTTGCATTTTATTTTACATGAATCACCAGTAGAACAGAACACAAATGTTTAGTCTGAAAGTGTGTTAAACAATTCAATCCCTCCACCCACTTTTTAAATCATTAATTATATCTAAAAACACATATTCCATTTAAATGCTGGACAGTTTCCATTTGTATACAACACAAACCTTCAATTCCACCAATTTATTGTGTAATATACCCATGGCTAGAACATGAATTACATATGATCCCATATTTATCACAATTATACAATTAAACCGTTTAATAAATAGTTTAATAAATTAACAATCACCAGCATTTACTACCCAAATTACATTTCAAAATAGACAGTATAACAATGTAGGGGTATGTGATATGACCAAAATCTTATTTCACGGTATGATACATTTTATTTCACGATAACGATATGTACCTCGACATAGCTATTTTTATTTTATTTTTGTTATTACAATTTAAGAAAAAGCAAGCAAATTACAAGCACAACAGAACAAATAAATATGAAATAAACTTTTAATTTATTCAGCTACAGTAGGCTAGATTTATTTAACATGTAGTAAGACATATTACAGAAATTGAATAAAGTGTATAAATAAAACACTGCATAGTCTTCACTGTATCAATCAAACATGATTAACAATAATAATAACAGACAGCAGCAGGTAAATAAGGCTGCTGTCCCTTTAAGACCAATCGCACGAATCCAATATACTGAAACACATCCGTTTTTCACCCAACAGTTTTACATTTATTTAACATATAACCAACTGTGTTTCTTGAATACTCCACACGAAGGGCATTATGACATAACTGTGTGCGTATTTGACCATTCAAGTACAATAAAACATGAAAGAGATCTGTTTTCACGATCGCATGCTGCCAAGAGAGGGGCTTTCAATGAGCGTGCTACGGCTGTGTGTCAGGCTGAGTTCTTTTTCACTGCTTATTGCACTTAACTCTACCAAGTGCGTCCCACTTTTTGTTTTATCATTCATGCATGTTTCCTTATCACTCAAAAGGTGTATAACGTTTTAGCAGTACTATGTTACGCAAGATATATTTGCATACCGCGGAATACACGATATAGCAAAATCTCTAACGATAGACACTTTATTTTGTGGTAACGATATGTAGGCTACCGTCATACCTCCCAGCCCTATAACAATGGAAAGTACAATGATTCAAATCATTGATTTTCACACTGTAAATACTCCAGATACACTATACAAAAAAATATTTAAGATGGATTCGACAGAAAGATCACATTCCTCATTCATGCCATTTGGAGCCTTAAGTTTAGATCCAAAATGCTTCTTGTTTTAATAATTCTTTATTTATATTACCTCCTCTACGCGATCCGAAAACTTCCTCTACACCTATAGCCTACATTCCAGTTTTTTGATGTCATGTCCCAGCTCGTTGAAATGTCTAGCTACTGGAGAAGTTGTGTCTTATATTTGGATTAATCACATCCAAAATAAAAGTTTTTGCTTACATAACATACTGTATGCGTGTGTACTGTGTATATTTATTATGCAAATGTAAATATACACACATACAGCATATATTTTGAAAATATTTACAGCAATATTTTCAAGGACAAGTAATTATGAAGTTACAAATAAAGATGCACTTAATTCCTACTTAAGATGGTCATTCTTCAACTAACTGCATTTAATATACATTTAAACTATAATATTTAAATTTGTGTCAGAAAAAAAAAGTCTATAAGTATTCAATAATAAGAATTTTATTTAAAAGTATGCACTTTTTCACAAGGGGCTGCATTTAAAGACAACAGGGCTTTCTGAATCACAAAATCCTTCCAGTGTAGTGAAACATTCAGAAAGACCCACAATGCACCGTGAAAACGAGGAAGCATTGATGCTCACTAAATTCCCTTAACTGAAATTTGGAAGCATGATTTCAATCATATGAGCCAACTCAATATGCATTAGGATATATGACAGATGTTTTGGGAAAAAAAAAAAAAACATTATTTACTTATATTGCAGCACACATTGCTAGACAGGTCCTCACCAGTGCCCAAATTTGTGTACAGCTAGAGAGCTAATTGAGATGCATCCAATGTCCAGTTAAAATAATTTATCTTTGAAAAATGCATCTTGTGATCACCACATTATCCCATTCCATCTAGCATCCTGTTTCAACTTCTCCTAATGTAGCACCTGGATAGAATAATACATGCCAGTGCAAAGCAGTGTACAGTAATGTGAGTTTGAATTTAGCTTGCATCATTTCCCAATCTTGTTCCCTCCTATTCTCCTCTGTGTCTCTGTGTGTGTGTGTGTGTGTGTGTGTGTGTGTGTGTGTGTGTGTGTGTGTGTGTG